TTATTTTTTAAAAAAATCAAGTTTTTGGAAATCAATTGACCGAAATCACCCGAAGATACCGAATGATTGAAACCAAGGTAGCGGAATAGGCTGATTTTCATAATTCTCCCCCCCTCTCTCTCTCTCTATATATATATATATATATATATATATATATATATAACTGTCAGTTTCACACCGAGCGCAATTCAATTCGTATTATTTATTCTTTTGTGTTTTTAATTTGTTTTCATTGATATATATATTACATTAATTAACTGTACTTAATTAGTGTTTTTTTTTTATTCAAGGATTATTTTGATTTTCATATCAAAAATAGTTCTGTTTCGGAATATTGTCTTATATCATGCAGAAATGTGTTTGAAATTTGCATTTTACCTGCCTTCAACAAGTTGGCATCTACTTGTAGAATTTTCCTTAACTATAACAAGCGAATTTATGGTTATTTCCAGTAGGGAGTATATCTTACTTTGTGAAGCAATAGCGAGCGGGCGAAGTCCGCTAGTATATAAACATATCAGAATATACGTAATAATGCATGTGTAAATATATATGTTGTGCAGTCTCCCTTCCGGGCCTGAGTCCATGGCTCTCTACAACTTCCTATAAATCATATTTCTAAGTAATGTTTACTTCCTTACTGTCACTTCTTGTCCTTTTTAGTCGTCCACATACACATGCCCGTGATAGCTGTTTCTCTTTACACACTTGGCCTTCAATTTTTTCTGTGTCCAATTCGGAAAAGCCTCTTTCTTAATTGTGCCCTCGAAATTTCAAACTTTTTCTCAGTAAAGGTGTCCTCTTATTTTCCCAGTTTTCTCACCTCATCCTGTCCATAGTATTCTCAGCATCCTTTTGTAGAACCACACATGCTGTTTCAAGTCTCCTCTTCATTTGTGAGGACATTGTTCTGCACTCATTGCTGCTATATAGGGGGACTGATGTTACATACCAGTTTAGCATTCTTTCCTTTTCAGTAATCTATAGATATTATTGTCTTTAAACTATCCACATTTCCACATCTACTTCATTTTTTCCATGATAAAATATTCCTATTTTGGTTTGTTCTTTTGCTGACAAACACGCACTTTGTTGTCTTACATTTGATGATAACTCATTTTTCCTGACTTTTCTTGTGTTTTCTGAACCCGATTTCAACACATTTTAACGGTGTACCGAATATTCTTAATGTGACGTTCACCTATAATAAGTTCACATTTCTAATCCTCTCAGAGGCATATTGCCGTACAGCTTAAATATATGTGGAGAAAATAGACATCAATGTTGCATTTATTCTACTTTATTTATTTAATACTTTCTACTTGGCTTGCAGTTTACTAACATTCCAAAGGATTGTCAGTGTCGTACTTTATCCAGTGCCTTTGTGTAATTCATGCGAAACAAAAATAGCCCTCTTAATGCTTATTATTATTCTAATCATCATCATCATTATCATTATTATACGATGAAATATTTTTCATGAGATTGTTTTGCTAGTTTTGCCATGAACGCTTCTTCTATGTATTACACTCCTTAAGGAAGTAGGCGATCCTTACCCTCATAACTTCCTATTCCTTGTGGTCTTTAGCAGTTTTTCTGTCTTTTCTGAGGCTTCTGCCGCCACGTTCCGCTGTGTATTCACACACGCTTTCAGGTAAATCGCTCAGTCCCTTCTATCACTTCTTCCCTCTATGAAGGTTATATTTTCGAAACTATCTTTCCTCATTTTAAGCATAGGTTACATGTAGCACAAGATCGAATGTGTTGCAGCTTACTCTTTTCATCCATAGTATTTTCCGTAGAACCACACCTCTGCTGCTTCCAGTTCTCTTCTCGTCCGTGAGATTGTCCAATATTCACGGTCATGTAAGAGGATGTATATCACATAGGAATCCAGCACTCTTTTCTTTGTTTCCATTTTTCCGTTTCGCAAAACCATGATTAGTTTTTGGAATGCTTCTTTTGCTAGTCAAATGCTATTAAAACACTTTCTAAACATTTAAACTTCTGCACCACCTTGATGTTGATATCATCAATTTGCAACTTATATCTTGGTCTTTTTCTCTTGCTAATGGCAATACCTTCTGCCTTTTTGATTTAATTGAAGGTTAGTCCTTTTTTCTTGCTTTCTATAGGTACTGGATACATTTATGTGAGAAATATCTACCAGGCAAATTTCTTTCACTACATTCCTTATTTTGAAGCATTTATTTTCCGGGTTATTTTAAATTCCATATTTTAATATACTTAGGTATCATTTTTGTTTTAATTTTTAACAATCCATGTGATATCATTTTATTATTCTAGCTCCTAATAAGGTCATTTTCTTATCAGCCAAATGGTACCAAACATTTTGAGATATGTTGAGGGTTAGTGAGTGAAAGATAGAACACTTACTCATGATTCTTCTATAATAATAATAATAATAATAATAATAATAATAATAAAAGTCAACCAATTTCATTAAATATCACCTTCACAAAACTGGATTCTGTGCTGTGAAGAAAGTTCGGTAAAACAGGGGAGATTGTGATTCACAGTAAGTAAATATAACATGTTGGCGCATTACAAACAGAGACAACAAATATAGCACGTCTTGCCCAACAGATGGTTTCTGGTAAATACCAGGTTTCTGCTCTCTCCAATTTGCATAAGCATAAACCATCTCCAGTGTAAGTAAATGACAGCTAACGCTGTCCCGGGGGTCTCTTAACCGTGCTGTATGGTAATGTAAATGATGTAAGAAGGACAAAAATCATTAATGTCTAGAGGGAGGGCAATTTTATCATCGATATATCAGTATCCGAGAGCGTAAGGTTAGTTGAAGAACTCCTCCCGCTCATGAACAGAGATGCACAATGCATCAGCCCCTAAGGGGGCATGAACAACTGGTTCTGGACAGTTAAATGACAAACAAATATATGGTATTGAACATTTATTATTATTATTATTATTATTATTATTATTATTATTATTATTATTATTATTTTCATGCTAGGTGTCTGACAGTTATTGCTGGATATTGAGTGAATGCAATTCTACTCAATATTTCAGGACAAAGTATTCCAATTCTGTTTAGAAGTTCTATCGTCGAGACTATCTCGATTCTTACTCTAGATTTCAGATGTAGATCTTCCAAGAAATAGGACACAAATTAAATCTTTTCAAAACATAAATGATGATCTGGAAGTCGAATGAAAAAACGAATGGCACCTGAATCCATCATAAAAAAAATCAGGAAGTGGAATTTGTAAATACATCAAAGTATAAGTTATAACAAATTTAAGATAGGAGATAAGGAAATTTAACATAGAAATAGGCAATTTTGATATCCCATATCGCTGAATGAATTCATGTTCTTATTACATGAACAAAATAGTATATGTTTGTGTATTTGAATAGCGAATTGAGTAAGGAGCAATCATCTTGGCTGATTGATTGATTTATTTTTACGGCTCATAAACCATTTGCAGGTTATTTAAAATAAAAATAAAAATATATTTCTAAATTCTAATCATTTTTTGGAGATGACACATATACTGGCGAACGAGGTGACAGGGCGTATAACACGACCTCCAAATTTTCAAGTTAAAATGTAGGTTTTGGGATATATTCGCCGTATAAGACGATTCCCTGAAATTATATTTTAAAATGTGTTGTATTGAATTTATTAAATAAATTCAGTAAGCATATTATTACACTACACTTTTATTATTTTATTATAATTTGAATTAAGTTGTTTGAGTCGATAGTTACCAAGTTAAGGGTTAGTCTACCGACAGAAATCTCTGATGCTAACAACTTAACATAAACCACAAGATCTTAGGTTAACATTTTATAACTGATGTATGAGACAGTCCTCTATTTGGGGGGATTTTAAGGTTAAAATGTCGCCTTGTACGCCAACATATACGATAATAATGACCTGCTGATACAAGTTCTATTAATTACCTCATAACTGGGGGGAGTGGGAGGTGAATTCATACCTTTCCAATGATGTTTACCTTAGTGAATACAATGAACCCGATTGGCATAATGATTTGAAACTCGGATCTCTGATTTTCCATACCGAGCCATTATCCTTTTCACCATCCGCACATCTAAGCTTAAAGCACTTGGAATTCCTAAGCGGTCACCCATACAAGTACTGACCAGACTCGACGATTCTTAACTCAGCAATCGTATGACAACCGGTGCTATGAGTGTAAGCCCAGACATCTTGGAAATGTATTCTTTTTTAATTCCGAGATAAAACCATGTCATCATTCCATGAACCATACAGACCGTTATCCAAGCTATTGTTGTTTTGATCGCTACGCTTTGGCTGATACATTCTTACGCTTTTGTCAGCTTTACATTGAACCGATAAAATATCCACAGCGATGTTTTTAAAGAAGAAACTGAGATAAATATTCATGTAATAGAATTTTGGAAGTGTTCAAGATGATAAAGTCATTAGAGATTAGTTTGCAACAAAAACTTACAGATGAGGACGCATCGGTCGTAATTTAGTAATTAAATGACAAAGAGAAAAAGTTTAGTCCAAGCAATTTAAGGAATCTTTAGTAATAAAAGTTAATTGTTAATTGAGTAATACTTTTCTGATCGCAATGTGAGCGTAGGTGTTAGATTGGCAGATATGATATTATGAACCCATTTGCATATCTCTTGCTGCATTCTAGCAGTTTACACTGAGAGACCAGGGAGGAATTTTTATTGTCAATTGTTTTATGACGTAGTTTGCATTTCTTCTTTTTGTATGCTACATTATACAACAATTCATAATCTTTATAATGTTTTATATTTTTTACGGTTTTTTTTTTTTAGATAATAATGATTTACTGATACAAGTCATACAAATTAACTATTAATTAGCTGAGGAGGAGAAGTGGTGGATTCATATATTTCCCAAGCGTATTTGCGCACAAGTGAATATAATTGACCCGACTGGAATTGGAACTCGGCTCTCCGATTACCCATTATACCACCGCACTTCCAAGCTTACAGCACCTGTTATTCCCAAGCGGTCATTCATCTAGATACCGATCAGGCTCGACGTTGCTTAACTTCGTTGATCGTACGAGAACAATTGTTTCAACATGATATTACCGTAAGACTACCAATGTCTGTGTTATTGCGTGAATGCGCATTGTTTAGCTGTTATGGGCACCGAAAATGCGATCGGCGTGTAACAGATTTCCAATTCTGTCACACAAATACCCTTCGCAAAGATAAGGTATGAATCCACCTCTGGAGTCTTCACCTTAGCTGACAGCTAATTAGGGAGAAATAAAATTTTCAATTGAAAACCGTTGAGAAAGCAACAGGAAATCAATTCATACTCTTTTCCAAGATGTCATGATAATTCCTAGGTAGTAGGAAGCAAAGTATGTTGTGAAGAGTCATAGTCTCTTACGTCTTGAAGATACATGATTTTTTTATATATGTTGAGTGAGAAAATACATAATATGAATTAGTAGATATAGAAAATGCGAAAGACTGAAAATCTTTCATAGAAAATCGAATAAAACATGAAAATTTAACTATATTAAACATGAAAATACCTCTATTACTTGCACACTCTACTTCATAAAAAAGTAAAATAGACAGTTTTGATGTTTATATATTTGTATTAAACTGATTGAATTCTCTTATAGGTAAATTTTATTGCTCTATTTCTTGAAAAGTCCATAAAAAGAGTAGAATTACACATTTTATAAGAAAAGAGTTTAAACATATGAAGCAGCTATTAAAAATATCCGAAAATAGTCGTTCGACCATTCTTAGCAATGAATTAAATGAAAAGTAAATAAATAAATACTACCTGAGGCTTTCAAAATCCCTACCAGAGAGTAACATTGTTAACGAGGACCATTATCTTCATTTTGTTGTTTGTTTTTCTCCTTCTCGTTTTCTCTTTTTATGTTTATTTTTTTAAACCAAAGTTGGTTGTATGATAAGAAAATATATTTGTATTTAAATCCCTACCAGAAAACTCGACTACATGTAGCTCGATGTCGCTGTTCATTAAAAGGTCTTCAAGAATTTAAAAGAAAATGGGAACCAGAATTCTCGATGACAACTGAAAGGTGACATGACTAAAATTTTACAATAAAAAAAAAAACTAAATAAAAATTTCAATATGAAAAAATGTTGACTTGAAATCAGAGGCAAGTAACGATATTATTGAAATATTTTCTTAATATGAACAGATCTACACAAGCCTCGTATTCAGATTTTCTAGGCTTTAACTGGCACAAGGCTACAAAAGAATCTAGCAATGGTTTTTCTAGTTCTAGAATCTCGTCACATAATTACGTTTCGGAGTCAACCAACGCCCTTCAGAAATATACTAGTTTCTTCAAGAAGAATGATTGTTTGCAAGATAACTTCACAGATCATTACTAGTGTAGAATGTAATAAAGTGATGATTCTAATTACAATAGAAATAATATGAGACACAAGCTTGCTAATAATTTCTGCAGTTGATATGTAAGTGTAGAACTAGCTATGCCTTGGAAAAAGAGCTTGATGAACAGCGTGCTGGGGTAAACTCCAACATACAGATGTTAGCTGAATTTATTCCAATGGTATGAAATATTTACTTAAATTTCTCATAATCTGATACAGAGCCACGCAGCAATGTCACACTGGGAAATTGCCTAGTGGATTAAAGCATGAGATTCGGGAATTTGGTGACATAATATATTTGAGTTCAATCCCTGGGTCAGGTTGTGTGTACTTGGACTCACTGGAAACAGAGCTGACACTACCTGGATAGTACTAAGTAAAAACAAGACACGATATCCGAGGGCAATGGAACGAAAAAATATACAAACAAAGGGTTCAGTTCAAAATTCTTTGTAGGTTATCCGTATAGTCTACGCTCAGAGAAGATACGGCACATATGAACAATAAAATGTTTCAATCAGTTGGTAAGTTATTTACTGTTCTGCAAACATATTGGAATAAAAATATATATTCTTACGTTTCTTTTTCATCATTTGTTTGTAAGCAGATTTCATTTTTTGAAAGCCTTGTTCTTTCAGGACATAAGCAATTATGAATGTCCAGAAATTCCTTTTCTTTAAAATTATTTGAAAATTGCTTTGATTTGGGAAGGTGAGTTAAATGGTTTGCTGTCGCTTTCTCCGTGGTTTTGAATTCAGAATAGTCCTTTTCCAATACTGACTGCTACTCATGTCTAGAAACCCTAATGTATCCTACATTACACCTCATAGCTTGGTATTTAAGCAAAAAGCCAATGCAACATGCTAGGCCAGAATTTCCTCATTGAAACCGTTGCGTTAACAGCACACTCTTACAAGATCTATTTGCATTTAAAAATAAAAATAAAAACACTGATATTATTTTAAAAAGGTCTTACCATCCAGTATTAATCTCATCAGTAGAAAATTTTCAAAATATAATTAATCTATTGTTATATATTATACAACAGATAGGGTCATAGCTGACTAGATCAAATAAACAAAGGCTACG